TTTATTGTTACAAGCAGTCAACATTCACTCGAAAGGGCCTAGGTTTTAGCCTTACTCGATCTACTTCATTCTGGATCACTGAACAATATCGCAAGCCTTCACATAATGGGTACTACTCATCACTTGATTTGTAGAAAATCTGATTCGTCTAACCGAGTTCTAACTGAAGTGACTCACAAAATCAGCATTATATTGTGCTAATGTCATGAGTACATATATATTTGAAGGATAATATTTTAGAGTAAGTGGCACATAGAATGCTCTTCAGACACTAAGGTGGTCCGGGGTTCTATCCCTGATACGTCGGTGGCACAGCGGTTAGGATGCTTACCGACCATGCACATAGTCCGGAGTTCAATCTCCTGCCGACACATGCCTCATATCAATGGTTGACTTGCTAATTTGGGCTACCGATTTCACATGCTAAAAATTCCATACTTGTACCAAAAATACAGTGTGGAATCAAGCTGTAATCAAAAATAATAAATGAATAAATAAAAAAAGAAGTTTGGGCGTGAAACTAGCAATCCAACTATGTAAAAGTAAAACCACTGTTACTTCAAAGCTCTAGTTTGAAGCTCTATGTTCCACTGGGAACACAAAGGAATAAAATAAAAATAAATAATATTACAGTATGTAAAAGAGAAGACGCTCAGCGAAGAGATTCTTTTCAACGAATTCATTTACATAGCTGCACAGTCGCATTTATGTTTAATTATTAGAGTAAATTATGTGGAAGATTATCGATTAATATGTGTTTCCCTTCACTTTTAACAAAAAGACTATTTGAAACTGTAATTTCATTTAAAGGCAACCTAGAGATCTTAACAGTATCCTTCAGTTCTCCATAACAAGGAAGTTTCTCATGATGAAAAGATTGATGAAATACACAGATAATTAATGTGAATAAATCAACAAGGAGAAAAATGGAAAAGTTTGGGCAAAAATGTATCAATCGAAGTTCTGTAGGACAAGAAATAAGCAAAAGGAATGAACTAGGGGGATTTAGGTGCCATAGTAAGTCACGATTTAAAAACTACAGCACATTGTCATGCGGTTGCAGCAAATAGTTTCACATCTTTCCGCAGGGCCTTTACTAGAATCTTCAGAGTTATCTTCACCTCCCTTATATATCTCTGGTGATATGAAGACTGGAAAACTGTATCCAGACAGCCAAACATTGTCTTAAAGGGGACTCACATATTCTAGAAAGGGTTCAGAGGAAGGCAACACCTATGATTCTCGGTACGACTAATTTATCACACGAGGAGAGACGGAACAGTTTAAAAATCTTCCCACTAGCTTGTAACACCTTAGAGAACATAGCAGAACCGTTCAAAATCCAGGGAAAAACTATACTGCTGTGTAGTATTGGTTCTTGCGCCAAGTCATCAACTCCTGAAATCGGTTTCCCGAAGAAAAAGTAGTATCATTCAACCCTCAGCTGACTCATTCAATAAGAGCTTGGACTGACACAGAAATTTGATAGAAAAGGATTAGAGCGGGCATCATGTCTTCTATCCTTAGCCAACAAATCTAAATCTAAGATCTGAAGTGAGTAGAAAACGATAGGGTTTCTTAGAATTTAAGTCGTACGTATACCGAAAGGAGCATAAATCTTTAAACTTGAGGTTTAAAGTTTGAGTAGAATTGGTATATTACTTGTTATTGAATGGGATCGCTAGACTCACACCTTACCTTCCCTCTTTAATTATCTTACTACCGGCTTAGTGAATTTAAGGGATGTATCGTCTGAGGATAGAACCCCAGACCACATGAGGCATGGATGACGAGTATTCTACTTATGAATCACTGAGGCGTGGACGGATGGGTATTAAGAGTAGTGGTAATATAAATAAAAAGAAACTGTCAAAAAGTTATATCAGGAAAGGGGGAGAGAAGACTTAGTAAAGTCAAATGAATGAAACATTCCCTAATTTTTCTGTTGTTTTTAACTTTCGGGAGACATTTGCTAATTTTAGCCACAGAGACGGAGAATTCTCAAGCATTCAGCTCTTGACCGCTAGATGCTGGCAGATATGCCATCTGCAATTTGTTCCATGTTAGATAAGTCTATTTACTGTAACATATAAAATCACAGTGTTAATAAGTGAATGACGTTTTGAGCAGAATTTATTGCTCATGTTCAAATCAATGAATTCATATACTTTGATAACTTGCTATATGTACTTTCAGTTCCGCCCCCCTCTACGTCCTGTTTTCATTACAATTTTCAACTAATCCGGTATAGGCCTTACGTCATTGCGGTTGAAATGTTTGGTGTATTATTATTACATTATATTATTATTGATTCCTTCAAGTTCCCAGTGGAACATAGGGCTTCAAGATGAGGCTTGAAATTTCTGTAGCAGTGATGATTATGTTTACAGGATGGTGTCGCTAACCTTATGCTCAACCTTATCTCTTTACCAGGCTTGTTACTGGCTTAGCGAGGTAAAGGAGTGTATCAGTCGGAGATCGAACCTACGACCATGTTCATGGTCGGCGAGTGTCTAACCGTTGTGCCGCTTATGCACTATTTGGTATATGGATTCTGTGAACAGAAATTTTGACGACTAGACTCTCACCTCCTTTCCTCCTCCTAAGTATATTAATACTTTTATCCCATCCCTATATGTTGTGGGATTAATCATGTATGAACGCCTTTCACCGTTTAAGCTTTTTCTGGCGATCACTCTGGATCTAGCTAAATTCTCATATTCCGATAATCTAGCTAACTGAGATCTACTGGTCAGACTTATGAAATCGGTCTCATAGTCATTACATTTTATTCGGTAAATTGTATTATTTTTCCCTATTGGATCAGCAACGGGGGAGAAAACCAACCAAGCAGATCCATTTGTGCAAGAAATACGCAGTATGAAGTGGAGTTGAATTGGCCATACTCTGAGAAAACAAACCATCAAGTGACATCCCACGCCAGATATCGCTCGAGTGGAACCCGAATGGAAAGCGGCGAGTTGATCGTCATTGCGAGAGTGACATGGAGGAGGTCATATGAAGAGGAAATAAAAGATGTAGGCAGGCGTGAAACCAGGTGAAAACGTTGGCAGAGAGCCTAGTCAACGGAGACGCGCAGCTGAAGCCCTATGTTCCTCTAGGAACTAAAGGAAACAATAATATTCATGAGTGTGATAATACAAGAAACTGTTCAAAGTGAAATTGGTAATAAAAATTGACATGATATGGGAAGGATATGCAAAGTGGATAAACAAAACAAAAAATAAGTTGGCCAAAATATGAAGATAGATTTTCATAATTTGACCGTAATTAAACCGGATCAAGAGGGAATGTTAGTCATGAAGCTAACAACGCCACCATCTTACAAAGATATCACCACTGCTACGGGAACTTCAGAGCTTAAACTTGAAACCCCATATTCCATCATGTGTAAAACTTGGGCACTCTGGTAGGATGTAGTTGCATATTAATTTGTTTATTAGAAATTTGTAGATGGGTGTACGATCAGGTTAGTTCAACGTCGAAGCTATGCGCATCCAGTACTAGCTCATCTCATCGATACTGGCTGGACATCAAGTCGACTCTAACGAAGCTTTTAAAGTTACTTATCGTATTTCGCACAACCTCTAGCGTGAACCACGAGTAAGGCTTAAACATACATAACACACAAGCAATCGGAATTTTGATGTATTTGTGTTCCCTGAGCTGGATATTTTATATGCGAAGTTTTTCTCGCTCTACTAGGCAACATCTTCAGAGGAATTCATCTGAACAAGCCAAATAAGTGTGTACAGACCTTTTCTTCGCCATGACCAAGTACATAATATGTACTAAGTTTCTAAAAACGATTTTCTCCCCTTCCCTTGTAACTATCTCTTAACTTTGTTTATTTTTACAATTTTAGCTAATTCTATTAACTTGTTTGTATTTTATGTAATTCTTCCGAGTCCTCCTATTCTTTGTAGTCATCATGGCTACTTTACAAATTTCTTGATTACGTAATAACTTATTGTTAATGCCTTAGAATTAACTTATCTTGATTTCCGTAATTCCTTAATTTTCACTCCTTCTTCAAAATTTATATATATATTATTACTCACATCTAATATTTGATTGTTTTGATAACTTTTGACCTCTTAATTTTAGTCCCCCTTAAACCTGAAATTGAGTAACTAAAATAACCACTTGATTTTTGATATAAAAGTATAAATTAATGTAGAACCAGTGGCACAGTGGTTAGGACTTTCGCCGACCATCCACATGGTCCGAGGTTCGAACCCCCACCGACGCACACCTGATATCTATGGTCGGCCTGCAAAATTTGGGCTACTGATATCCATGCTGAAAATTCCATACTTGTACTGAAAATAGGTGTGGAATCAAGCTGTAAATCAAAAAAAATCAAAAAAAAAAATTTGTCGGATAAAAGATCTTGTGGAGCCAATCTATTTTATCGAATACCCTGTAATGAGTATTAGTTCAAGTACACAGGTCAAAGTAGTAGAACAGGGTCAGTCAGACTAGCAGAGCACAAAAACCTTGCCAAATTTACATTATTTGACCTTAATAAGATAAGAAATTTGGAGAATAGTTCAACCGTAGATAGCACTACATACAGTTACAGACAACCACACAAACAGGATGGGATAAGATGACAGTTTAACGACCTAGTGTAACAGAGTGGAGGCTGAGATCGACAACGGAAGCTCTACTTATCGCATCAACTGAAAACGTGTGTAGCAGGAATGATTGAACACTTGAACACCAAGAACTCTGGGAAATTCTAGTACCCCTAAGACGAATGAGAAGGAATAAAGACCACCATAAAATAAAAGTCTCGAAGTTATGCAGTTATAATTGATGATATGATTATGAAAAGTAATAAATTGTGTTCGAAACTTTGTCATTGAATAAATATTTTAATGAATAAATTATTATGCAATTACATCCCCATACATTCTTTTAATAGGGAACGCAATGAACTAATAAAGCATACATGTATATTCTACTTAACTTACCTAGAAAATGTTCCTCCTACTATACAATGCCAATATGGTTGATGTTTTTGATCAAATTCTGTTTTAATATACCGAGCAATCTCTTGTTCTGTATCATGTTCATCGATAGCATTAGCAGCTATATATACAGCATCTTCTTGCATATCACGATTCATATCAGCATCTTTAATCATGGCTGTGATTTCTTTCGTCATTTTGGAAATTTAACGTTGGCGTTGGAGTCGGTGTCGGAGTTGGAATGGCGAAGTGAGGAGAAAAAGTCGAGAGTGTGAGTTCTTCGCGCACTACTAATTGTGCTCACCAAAATGTTAAAAAATGTGGAAATATATATACATGTATACTTATGCCACCCACCCACCCATACATGCACACATAAGCGCACACAAAATTAGCACACAAATATGGTGTATACATGTGTCTGTGTACATTATACTCTTTCATAATTAAAAGCAAACATGCAAGAAAAAACAATGTTATCACCTATGGGTATGTGTGTGTGTGTGCGCGCGTGTATTCAATCTATATATATTCACCATATTGAACAAATTAATTAACACTTTGTTTTAATGCATTACTTAATAGTAAACACAAAAAATAATGATGATTAGTTGAATGTGTTTATCTTACTCCAGTTGTAATGAGTAAATGGTGCTTCTTTAAAAGAAGAAGAACAGGAGAGAGAGAGAGAGACGGTGATGGAAAATCAAAACAACAAACAGAAAATCTGAGTTTTCTATTTTCTTCAACTTTTGTACAGTGGTAAGTATTATACATGAGTGAAATTTTTACTCAGGAGTGATATTGTTGGTACTTTTGTTATTGTTATTAGCCAATTAATGATAATAGTAATAATAATAGGTAACAATTATACCAATGATTTTGATGCATGCAAGAACATTTGGAGAAAATGAGAAAATCAATTTTTGTTTTGTCTGTTTCATTTTGAGAATAACTTTTGACAAGTAATCTGTGTGTGTGTGTGTGTCATTAGCTTCACATATCTAAGAAGCATCATTTCATTGATAGGCAGGCAATCAGTATGGATGAAAAATTCAAAGTAAGGCACATCTTTATCACTTCGAAATTAGTTTGGGAATCTACCATTGTACTTAGCATAGACAATAGTGCTTCTGCATTGGTCAGAAACTTGACCAGAGTGTCACGAAAAGCATTTCCAGCAGGTGACTCAAGACTTTCATCAATAGATGCCTTTGCTGGATCCATATTGGAGATTAAATATCCAGGAAGAATTAAGAACGAGCGGCTCTGTGCGTTGGTGGCACAGTGGTTATCACTCTCGACGACCATGCACATGATCCTGGGTTCGATCCCTGCCGACTCACACCTGAAATCTATGGTCGGCTGCGAAATTTGGGCTAACGATATCACATGCTGAAAATTCCGTACCTGTACAAAAAATACGCTTTGTAATCGAGCTGTAATAAAAAAAAGAACCTAATGCTCAACAAATATCTTGAAGGGGATGGAGATAGACTGGACACAAACTGAGGAAATCGTCGTATAACATCGCATGTCAGGCTCTGGCTGGAATGGAACCCAAGTGTGAAACGACGAATTGCATATGCGTGCGTGAATGATGTGGCAAAATCGTTTTTGGGTAAAGGAGGTGAGAAACCATGGGCAATCGTGAAACCAGGTGAAGTGGACTGCAGAGAGTGGGTAAAATGCAGATATACTGTTGAAGCATTATATTCTACTTGGAAATTTGTTATACATTTGCCGATTACTCTAAGTAGTTAACAGACCTCATCAGAATATAATGGAAATAAAGAGTGGCTTTATTGTCGATTGTCACTTCTTTACAGTGTGCAGGTATATCGTATTCAGTAATGATGGCATCACCATGTAAGGGATTCTGAGATCCTAAGGAGAGTGCATGGGTAGTTTAGTGGTAGAATACTCAATAAACACGCGTCACGTGACCTGGAGTTCAGTCTCTCACAGACGCACTCATTAACTTTGCCTAGTAAGGAGTGATCCAGTAAATACAGGAAGGTTTGGCGTGAGACTAGTGATCGTGCTCTGTAAAAAAGAATAACACCACTCGTACTGAAACTTTAAAGCTGAAGCTTGAAGCTTTATGTCCCACTCGGAATGCAAAAGAGTGGTCTGTGTCTGGATAGGATGGAGACTGTGTTTCACTGAGTTGTAACATCTGGGAAAATTGGGTTCGATGTCTGTGAAATGTACTAAGAGTGTAGTTCTAGCGACTTCTATAATGTTCACTGTTTTTGCTGACCCTGGAACTGGGTGGAAATAATGATAAAAGCAATGGCTTTATTCCGAACAGTATTTATAAAATTCACAGAATTTTCTACAATGTTCATTGCATGATAATTTCCTTCCGACAAGGATCTGGAGAGCGAACCGATTTATTATGATATTTCTTCTTTTCCTCAACCACTGATGCATTTAGCTTATTTGTTGATAGAAAAACGGAAGAAATTATATACACAGATGACTGACGGAAATACCATAGTAAACTTACCTTACAAAAAACTTTCTTAGAATATTTACATTGACTAGTTATTGTAAGAGAAAAATGTGCATGTGAATTGCAAATGATAATTCAGTGAATAATAAAAATGTTAAAAAATCTTTATTTTGTTAATATAAATAGTGAAATTATTACCATTTTACAAACTACTTTTAATCTTATAAGTAGTTAATTTTATTAAATGAAATTATTCAGTTAGAATCGAACCGAAGTGTTCAGTATCCGTCGATATTGTGAAATACTCAGTGCGGACGCTTCTACGATGCCTGAAGACTATCGTGGTGTTATTTTCCCTGAAAAATTTTCTCATGTTACATCTGAAAACGTTATTTAATTAAATGATTATCCTTTCACATCATACTTCAGAATTATTTCGGAATGTGAAAGCTTCGTTCATTACATCTGGATATATTTGTTACTCCGGTTTTCTTCCACATATATAGTTAAACCATATTCTTATATTAGAATCAGATTAAGAGATAAATACCTGATAATAGTCTAGATAAATTTATTAACTGTGAAGTATTTTCACCTTTAATTTTAGAAATGAAACTCACTCACTTTCAAAACTAAAAGCTGAAATCTGAAACGGAAACATGGGCTAAATAATTTTTCTTTGATAATACTGATGGTTATATTTGCAAAGATAATGAGCTAACTTTCGATAGTGACGAATTAATATTGTGTAGAATAACACTCAGAAGTAATCACAATACTACTTTAAACTATTAATTGGTTAGTATAGTTTATGTTAAAGACGTTTTAATCTTTATGAGACATCTGTGAATAGTTTATGACAGCTGGCCTGATGTTTTTCAATATTTCTCATTGTCTCAGATCTCCAAGCTCAAAGAGGATAGTAATTCCTGGATAAGAGGAACCGACATAATTAAGTGGTTCCCCATAGTAAGGTTAGCTGAAGTTTTGCATCGCCTACTGTCAGACTAAGATCACTTTTTTCATCAATCATCAGTTATCTTTCTGATTATGGCAATAAATGACACAAATTCAAGTTACTTGAACATTATAATTTAAACGAAAATGCATTCAGCGAATAGCTCCATTTTTCAGCTGTTATTCTCAAACTGTACAATCGCATATATATATATATATATATATATATATATATATGTACAGTAAACTGTCGTTGCAACAAAACGAATATTTCCAAAGATGTGTTATTAGAATTGTAAATTCTAGACTAAAAGTTACGTAATGTAGGAAGTGTTAATCGGATATAAACTTCAAGAACTACATCAGTAAACTGAGTGACGGAATACAATTGACGGGTTTGAGAAAAATTCAACTAAAACTGAACAAGAGTCAAGTTAACAACAATGTTAATAAGGGGTAGAAATTTAAGAGGGTGGAGGGTAGAAAATAAGAGTAATAGACTAGGTCCATTGTAGATTTAGTGACTTAACAAACTTCTTAAGTATATAGAGTTCAGGATTTAACACGTGAATTACTGGCGCTTCTGCAGTTGGAGGAAGTTTAATTCATCGCAAAATTCCTACGTATTTCTACATAGTCAACTTTGAGGTTGATTTGTGGGTAGGCTTGGTTTGTTTACAGCTACTGGTACAACTTACTGATCAAACAAAAATCATTTCCACCTTGTGATCAATCACTGTCAAAGAATATGTGTCAAAATGTGAAGAATTTCAGCCTATCTACTAACACAATACGATGAGCACTCACTTTTCTACTTACTAATGTTCATGTGGCTCCTTCGTAGTAGACAGACTTAGATTATTATTGAATTGAATTTTTGATTTTCCCATCGATCGATTGGACCGAAGTGCTCGGTCTCAGGTTGACATGTCGGCTTCTTGTGCAGATGCTTCGACGATGTCTGGGCGTTTAATTAGTCTACAATTGGTGGATGGTGGCTAGCAGTGGAATCCACGATGCGCATTTCGCCCTATTTGGGACTCGTCAGCTGGATGTACCTGCATTTCTCAGTGAGTGATGATGTTCCCACCGAGGCTCAGTGGGCCTCGGTGGGAACATCATCACTCACTGAGAAATGCAGGTACATCCAGCTGACGAGTCCCAAATAGGGCGAAATGCGCATCGTGGATTCCACTGCTAGCCACCATCCACCAATTGTAGACTTAGATTATATTTGTGAATTTCTTCGAAAAGTAATTCAGGACGATTATCGAACGGTTATTAGAACTACACTTTGAGTGACGCTTAAAATCCGAAATGACGGTACTATATTAGACATCAAATATAAAATATAATATACAAACCCTAATTGCGAGGTCTGTACGGTTGGATACCGTCAAAAAGCATAGTCACTGTGCATCACTAAGTAAAAACAGTACATCTGTGTCAGACACGCACTATTCAAACAGTGCGCGAATGTCAGACACAGAATAAATGGATACGGATAAACAAAGTTCAACTGTAAAAGGTACACGAATAAAGCATATGCAGCAAATAACGTTCGACTATAGGAAAATAATTATTATACATCTAATACATCGAGTGAGTTTAACTTCAATAGTAAATAAAAACAAACAAATACAACTTACACTTAATATCAGTAAAACGCTTGAGAATTGTGGAATAGATCAAAACAAGACAATTCCAACAGTTGGTGTGATCATAGGCAGTAATTGTCCGAAATATTACCAAAAAACCTATCATTATGTATTAACTATTGACATATAATTACTACTTACTAGAGATAAGTAGTATGAATTTTAAACACAAAAGAAGGATTGACAAGGGGAAGATAAGAAAAGAATTAACAATATTTCTGTTATAAAGTTTAGTTTCAGTGAGCATGACGGCATCATCTTTTTAAGAAAACACAATATTCATCTGAGAGACTCTATCAACGAATTTCTTAGCAAGCTG